TTGTCATGAAAGCTTGTTCATAACATACTTTTCACCTTGTATTTTCCAAGAAGGGACATGGCTTTTGTCACTTTCTTCCCAGGCGGGCACTGCTGGAAACCACTAACATGTGTCATGTGTGCTCTTTCCAGCTTCCTCACTGTTTTGCTACACATGCAACAACGAGCACTCCAACTGGAACTGTCTTAAAACTTACAAGTGTGAAGACCATGAGAAATACTGTATAACCACATACAGCTCTGCTGGGTTTGGTGAGTACCAGCTATGCATCAAGGAGCATTTTGTTTTGGTTTTTTTCCCCTCCAGAGACACTGATGGGCAATAGTTTTTTGAGGGCAGTAGTTGTTGATCACTGAGGTTCAAGGATCACAACATATAATGTATGAATCCCTCAGCGGCGTCCTGTGATCCACCACCTGGGGTACGTTCCTCACCACCTTGTGGCAGGGCTGGCTGAAGCACATAGATTTTCATGAGCAGACCCTGTTGCTTGATCTGAGAGCTCACACACATGCTTTGTGATGGAGGACGAAAAGGAGTTGGCTGTAAGTAGTGTGGTTTTAGAAACTGAAAATGCATTGGCAGTGATTTTTTTGCTGTCCTACGTGAAGCATGGTGTGGGTTTCTAACCAAGGACTTTCTAGTGTCATGCATTTGATCCAGGTTGTGTGGACACTCACCCAGCACTCATAAAAATCCACTGATGGCCGTTATTGCTGCATTGTAAATTAAGCATAGTGCAATATACTTCCTCCTGTAATCCTCTGGTCAGCTCTTGCAGAAGAATCTTAAATCACAGCTGTCCTTTCTTGTCTATTCTCCATCCAGGCAAGGACGTGGGACACCGCATCACCAAGAAATGTTCTGTAGACTGTCCTGAGACGAACGTGAACTTTGGTGTGGCGGCTTATTCCACCAAATGCTGTAGCACCTCCCTGTGCAATTTCAGTGGTGCCAACAGCGTAAAAATCAGCTACGCCGTGATGTTCCTGGGAATTGTGGCCAGTTTGATCTGTGTCATCAAGGCAGGATTGTGATGAGAGGTGGGAGAAGATGTGACAACCCTAAAACCTACAAGGTATTCCCCAACTGAGAAACCAACATCGTCTGTCAAGTATCTCCAACAGGGTCTATGCTACCCTGTTTTTTCCAAGATGTTGCTTCAGATCCCATCCACAAAATGGCACAGCAGTGTATTTTTTCCCCTGTATCTTTTGTTGTTTTGTATTAATTTTCCTTGTGAAAGCTCTTTTGATAGCATCTGAGTGACAATCGTCAGACAAAATAAAGATTTATGTTATTCTAGAGTGTGTTTGTTATATCCACACTAAAATCAGCCTGAGAAAACAGCTCTGACAGAAAGGTCTGTAGTCTGAATCTCTCCCTCACATTGAATTCCTCTTTTCAGTACCTGGGAGTCTTCTCCTGGCTGCCTTTCTCAGTTGACTCAGTTGCATCTGGCAGCTCAAGACAGCCACTCCATAAAGCCAGATGTTCTGCCTGATCACTCAGCGCTAATGAATGAAGGTGTCAGTCTGGAAAGGTCAAAGATGTTCGTGTTGTTCCCATTGCAAGCAACAGTAAGAATTGTTTTGTAACTGCTAACACACAGGACTGGAGGTTTGCCAGGTATTGGTTGTGCTCCTGGCTGTGCTGCAAAGTTCTCATGTGATCTCTGCAGGGTGTGTGGTTTCGGCTTTTAAAATAGGTAAAGGTCCCACCCCAAGATGCTGGAGATGTCTAAGATGAGGACGGTGCTACTGGAATCTGCCCTCATAGAAAGGGGACCTCCGTGCCTGCTTGGAGAAGATGCTGGAGATGTCTAAGATGAGGACGGTGCTACTGGAATCTGCCCTCATAGAAAGGGGACCTCCATGCCTGCTTGGAGAAGATGCTGGTGTCTGAGTGATTGCTCATGACTTCCCTGCAGGGACAGGGGAAACGGGCAGAAACAACCTAGCAGAGGTGATGGGTGTCTGATCTGGTGGGGAGGTCTTTGCTCCTTCTCTTTCCTCTGTCACTGCTGCATTTCCAGGCTTTGGGATGGAGGAGATGGAGTGGAGATCCCCTGCAGCTTTTGGAGGAGCAGAGCTATAGCTGAGATGGACAAAATACATGCACTCTTGGAGCTGGAGGGTGCATTTTAGTGTTTATACTAGTCAAGGACTTTTCAGCTTCCCATGCTCTGCCACGTGCACACGAAGCTGGGAGGGGGCACAGCCAGCACAGCTGACCCAGACTGGCCAAAGGGCTATTCCATACCATATGACGTCATGCCCAGTATATAAACTGGGGGGAGCTGGCTGTGGGGGGACCGCTGCTCAGGAACTGGCTGGGCATCGGTCGGTGCATGGTGAGAAATTGCATTGTGCATCACTTATTTTGTATATTCTTTTATCATTATTATTATTATCTCTTCCTCTGCTGTCCTATTAAACTGTCTTTATCTCAAGCCACAGGTTTTACTTTTTTTTTCTGATTCTCTTCCCCATCCCACTGGGGCAGGGGAGGGTGAGCAAGCAGCTGTGTGGTGCTTAGTTGCCAACTGGGGTTAAACCACAACAATGAGATGGGCTAACTGAAGAATGGTAGTGTTGTAGCATTTCTGTGCTGAGGAACCAACAGAAACTTGTTTTTTTGCACTTCTTTTAACCACTTTTCCCATCACTTTTCCTATATGTTAATCACAATAATTTCTGAAATGTTTCTCAAAGCTTTTGGCCAACTTGAAAATCCACATTTAGTAAAAACATCTGAATTCCACAGTTACTTTTAAATTTCAGCTTTTGTTTCATGAAAACTACGTGTTTTCACCAAAATAAAGAAATTGTTTGCCCTTCTCTCATGACAATTTTAACCAGCTTTAGAACAAGATGAGCAAAACACTCTTCTTCCTTCTCCACTCAGCAACTGTGTCAAGGGAAATAAGTCTTTCCACCCCCACTTAAATCCCCTGTTACTCTTTCCAAAATTTTCTTCAAGTTCATAGCTTCCAAATACTTGTGGACAGTGACATTATCTCCTCCTTTGCCTTGGTCCCTCTGATGTCCTAATCATCTGTGTCCTTTCTACCCCCATGGGTTCTTTCCAATCTATCATCTCACCTGGCACTGGTGAGGGATGAGGATAACATTAATATCAGGGGGACATATGGAACCAGCTGGAAGAGTGCAGGACCATCTAATGGAAAACCTTGACTGTCAGAAATCCTGCAATAACTCCTTTAAGAAATAAAGCCTTGCCATCTCAAAATCTCAGCAGCTTGCAGGAGACAAGAGATATTTTAGTTTTTGCTTGGATGAGACTACAAGGGAGGGGAAAAAAAAAAAGTGCCTGGCTGAGCTGCTATTTCTGTACCTGTTAATGGATGCTGTTGGCTGAAATAAATCTGAATGTGGGCTGCCTCTTCAGCGCAACGTACGGGCTGCAGAATGGCATCGCCTTGTGCCTAGAGCCCCCTTTTCTGCTATTACCTCAAATAGTCAGCAATAAAAGTTTATTTACCAATAAAGACTGATGAAATCCTTTCTGGATTGGGGAAAATAAAATATTTTACAAGGAAGAGAGGGTTGCAGTGCCTGGCATGGAGGGTGCCAACTTCTGTTTTCCTCCTGCCTGGTGCCTTACACAGGCATTGGCCTCATGAAGCCAAACACCACCCCTCCTTTGAGCTTTCTTGGTTAATTGCCACCTCTGTTCCAACTGAGTTTCATGCTCTACCTATTGAGAAAGCAGAATTTTCCTCACCTTAGTCACGCGGGTCTCCACACTAAGAATATTTATACATCCAATTTAGACGTGTTGGAAAGAGTTACATCACCTCAAGAACCGGGCATGCCTTTTCGATGAGATAATGACTGTAGGTCGGTCATACTGGAAGCCCAAATATTCCATGGGAGATGGAAATCTGAGCAACTTTGAGACTAAGAAAAAAGGGAAACAAAACAGATGGAGAGCAGCAAGGGGCAGAGTCGCTGGCAGAGGCTTGGGGCACGCAGGTTGCTCCTGCAGCTCTGAGTGTCATGTGAAAGGGTTCCAGCTGGACCGTTTCTGGGACTGTGCCTCCGTCCCCACGAGTAGATGGCAGAAAGACAATGGTGAGAGGAAAAAGCAACAGCAATCAGAAGAAGATGGGAAAGATTCTGATTTTATACAGGGTGATAGGATGAAACATGATAAAAAAAGGAGGAATAAAGAACACCGTATGGAAATCCAGTGGAGTACTCCTATTTGGCATTTCACATAATTTTGGCTGGCTATACTTTTTTTTTCTGAAGACAATGAGTTGAGATCCTTGATCAGGCAATCCCTCATTCTCCATGCTTTAGCTGTTTGTTTTTTTCTCCCTGACATTTATTTTTTGTAATTTGTGAAAAAAATCACAGCTTGTTCCATGTGATGGGGGTGGGTGTTATTTCTATTTTTTAATTTAAGTGGTCATTTTCATTGCCCAGTGGAATATATTTTCTAATAAGAGAATATTTTCCCTCATAAAAAATATCCAATTTTAGAACAGAAACATTTATGATTTTGAAATGCTGTCTTAAAGAGGCCCACAGAAAATGATGTCTGGTCCCCTATGAAA